AGAAGGAGTCATAGAGTCAACTATGCTTCAGAAACTGTCTATAAATGTTTACAATATTTGGTGTTTACTCTTTAAAATGTGAAATATGAAAGAAAAGATAGTACAAACTATAAATATAGTTTTGCTTCATTTCTTGCAAATGCCATTCTTTCTTATTACCATGTAGTTAAGCTTTTTTTTTTAAAGCAGCCATAACTCTAATCATGAAGAATTACTGAAGAAAGACAGAAAAATGAGTAATTAAAGACTATAATTATGGTTTTCATATAATTTGGTTATGTCACTGATATTTGATAAATGGAAATGAAAATATCAAAGATGAGTAAATGACTCTTGACAATAATAGCAAGTAGTTCCTAGAGTTAATTCATTCTCCCAAATTTATTGAGCATTAAACAAGAATTAAGATGAAATATGAGATTCTATTTGAAGCTTGAGATTTTAATTTTCATCACATTTTAAAAGTAAGGTTTCAGAACAATGACTTTCTAGTTTTTAACGCTCAATTAGTCGTAATATTTTACTGGGATAATGACATGGAATTGTGGAATTTCTTTTCTTATAAGACAGGGCCACATAAGCAGCTATTCTGAGTTTCTCAAACATCCTCATTTATGACTGATATATATTTTTCTGTCTTTATATTTTATTTTTTATTGAACCAATATTAGATTATAACATTAAAAAGATTTGGTGGGCATCATTGAAAATCAACATGTATATATACTACATTAAATTCATAAGCCAGAATGAGAATGATAAAATACTGGATGGTGTCACTTAAATGCAGAGTATAAAAAAAACAACTAAACCAACCATCAAAAGCTGACCATCTAAGTTTTTAGGGGAGGGTGGAAGGCAAGGGAGAGAGATATGGGGAGACCACAATGGAAAACTATGGGACTAAGGGCACTTCAGTGGTGGGAGTGCTACAGTGACTACAGTGGAGAGGGGAAATCCAATACTGTCACAACTCCAGCGAGTTTGTAAAATAATTGTACTTTGAAAAATATATATAAAAGTACAATTCTATCCTTCACTGAAATTGACCCCTTTTCTTGATGATTTACACTCTCCCCCCATCCGTTTCCCTTCCCCTGTTTTAAACACTTGGTCTTATGGTCTAATTTATTATTTTGTTTTATATAGTTCTTCCATTTATTTGGTTTCTCTATGGACTACATATGAATAAAAATCACATGGTGTTTCTCTTTTTCCATGTGACTAACTTCTCTAAGCACAATTTAAATGAGGAAAGTTACAGAAAAATGTTAAAAACAAATCTAACTCTACCTATTATTATCTTTGTTCAAGTTTTCAATTTATCCTCATTTTGTTTTTATCCTTCAGCTATAGAATGATGAATTTAATGCCTCAATCGAGTTGACTAAAGTTATTAAAGAGGACTAATTTTGCTGAAATCAATGTTTATATTCTTGTACAGGTGGTTTAAATATTTTCTTTTTTTTAAGATTTATTTATTTATACAAGAACCGGGGTACAGGCCAGATGTGTGGGAGGGTGAGAGGATTCACCAGCCACAGAGTGGGGAACAGAACAGGCAGACTAATGAAATAACACTGCTGAGGGGAGGAGCGGGAGAGACAGGAGAAGTCTGCTGCACCATGTGGGTTTCTCCCTGGCTGGCCGGGATTGAACAAGCGCTGTAGAGGCTGCGGACAGCTTCACAGTGTGGCGCTCAACTGCCTGTGCCACCAGGGAGGCCCGGTTTAAATATTTTCTATTGAAGATTGATACATTGCCATTGGTAAATAAAGTTATCACTTATTCCTATACTAATGTGAGAAAGGTTACCACATTTTTAGCAAATCCAATTACATACATTAATTATCATTAAAATTAGTGCTAGGAACAGCTATGCTAACCACATGACAACATTTCATTTACACTTTCCTAATGAAATTATTTAATTAAGACAATGTGTAAGTTTTTTTTTAAAAGTGCATAAGCCACAACTTTTATTCACATTACTTGATAAAAATTCATGAAAAATGTAAAAAAACATGCTGCCAACACATATGAACATATTATATCTAAAATCACAAACTATTTTGGCTACTTATAAAATAAGGAGATTGAAAAATGGAAATGTTGACCTGAACAAAGATTCTGAGATTTGATTAAGGAAATTCTGGCTTTTTCTTCAGGGAGTCTAACCTCTTGAGATCTTGTACTTCATTTAACTACTTCTCAATAACCTTATTCTTCCCTTTCTACTTTAGCTTAAAATTTATAGCAATATAGAGAAACTGAACAATAGGTCAAGAAAAAGACAAAAGCTGCAAGCTGATGATAGATCAGAGGCATCCAGCAGAGGGGGAGGGAGAGGGGTCAATACTGGGCAGGAAGAGTACAAGGGAGTATTTTGATGGTTCAAGGTGATGATGTGATGGGAGAACTATGCGGACTACCCCAGAGTGGAGAAACCAATTACTGTACAAAAATGAACAATGATGTAAGAAAGAAAGAAATCCATACAACAAACAACTTTAGGATGAAATATTGAGCTCACTAATAGTCTCTTATACTGAAAAGTCATGAAAAATGAGCATCTTAGACTTTGTTCAGGGAGAGTCTGAAATTACCAGAAATTTAACATAAGTCTGGAAACTTTAAAAGCACTGAAAGTATTTGTTAAATTAATTTTGACCTTCCAGTTGAAAATATTAGCTGATATTAATATGAAATAATTGAATGTATTAAATTAGAAATAATCTGGTTTCATATTTTTAATGAGTCTGGATTAGAATTAGCACACCAGGTCTACTGAGACCTTGAATTACAAATATTCCTGTGAATTGAGTTAACAGGAAGGTAGACTTGTAAATTGAAAAAAAAAATAATTCAGGATAAAGGGGAAATAATATTTGTTTTGCCTAGCATTCTTAGATTTAAAAAAATGGTACAAGTAAATAGTGATAAGGGAAATTTTCTTTTCCCATTTATAATGGAATTAAAATGTGGGAAAATATTCAAAATCTGTCACTTTGATGAAACTGACTCTACTTTTCTAATAGTAATTGATAGATTTGGGGTAGAAATTCGAATAACTTTACTTAAATAATGAAGAATGATTGAATTTATTTTCTATAAATACCAGTCCATTTTGTACTCATATAATTTTAAGTATTGAAAAATAGTGCATTTACTAATCAAGACCAGGAAATAATGCAGAAAAGTGCAAAAGTTATTTGATTATACTGCATATAATCAAACAGCTGCTTTATGCTACAAGCAGCTTGTAACTAATGTATGTAATGTATTTGACAGTGGACATGGTATACGGTCCTTGTGTGCTGATTTAGACATTGGCATTCCCACTAATAGTTTCTGATTTTTTAAAAATCAAGAATAGAATGCAAAAGAAAGTTCATCTAACTAAGGAGTTCTCAAAATGGGCAGATAGATCAAAAATTCTGTGCATTTTTATGCCCTTTTCTGCAGTTCCAATATAAATATAATTTGCATAATTTGCATAAACATTTAAATTGAGGGCCTATTGGTTCTGAATTAGTTCTGTATCCATAGGCATATTTCATTTCTTTAATTTTCAGTGTATTTGCATTAGCTCCCATTTATTTATTTTTTTTTTTAGATTTTTTTTTTTTTTTAATTTATACAAGCACTGGGTACAGTCAGAAGCGCGGGAGGGTGAGAGAATTCACCAGAGCCAGAGTGGGGAGCAGAGCAGGCAGAAAGACCGAAGTACACTGCTGAGGGGAGCAGCGGGCGGCAGGAGAGGTCTGCACACCATGTGGGACCTCTGGTGGCAAGGGCGCAGGCGGGGATCTAATGGGCGCTGCAGGGGATGCAGGCAGTCTCACAACCCAGGGCTCAACTGCTGCACCACCGGGGAGGCCCATAGCTCCCATTTATAACTGATGTATTTCCATACATCACAAAATAGTACCAAATTATATCATTTAATAGATATCTACTTTAAGATGTAATGAATATACAAATGAGATTTTGTTATAGATAAAATGTAATATTTTTATAAAATGCATATATGCTAATATATTTCATTTTTTGTTGTATTAACACAAGTAGTATATCAATAAGTCTTATATATACAAAGTGGGTTATCAAATTCAAATTTATACATCATATTTCAAACATATTTTTGCATAGTAAATTAGACACTGGAAATATATCTACTTTAAAATGATGGCTAATATCTCATTAATTCTGGGATAACTCAGTTCTCAAAATTTCAATTTGTTAGATACAAAACACTTTCTATCTCTCTTTCACACACACACACAATATTAGGTAATTAGTATTAGGTAATTTTTCCCATAGAAAAATATATTTTAGCATCTACACACAAATCAAATCCTTGTATTATTTGCATAATTTCAACTTATTTGCTTTTATCTTATGAAAACTGAGTCAAATAATAATGCCTGCCAAATCATATCAATCTCTAAATTCAAATTTTTTGACAATGAAAAACACTAGTAATATTTTATCAGCTTACATGTCTAACTTCAAAGGGCTACGTATCTTAAAATATTGATAGGTTCCACATCAGACTTTAAGTAATTGATAAATGTTAAGATTTATCATATTAATTTAATATCATTTCCAATTTATAAAAGCTTGTATTTGTTACAATATTATCTAAGTAAAACAATGGATATATAGACCACATGATATATCTCATAGGTTTTACTAAGTTTAATACAATTTAACATATACTAAGGAGCTATTTGCCACAAAAATGTTACATTTCTGAATTTGAGCAGTAGCAATGAAATATATGTAATTCAATCTCAAAACACAGACAAGAGAAATTACTACCAAAATAGAGGAAGCCATAACTAGCCTTATTGACAATCAAATCATGTGCAAGATAATGGGATGTCAGTTACATTCTAAGGAAATGATATACTTTAGCTTTTCCCAGTTTAAACAACCACACAGTTTTAAATGGAGTATGATGATGGCACAAGTAATCTTTACTCCAAAGCACTCACCTACTGTCAGCTGTCCAGTTAACTGCCCCATGTGATTTCTTGCATTCACTGTTACATTTCTGTCAGACTGTAAGACCAGTGGACTATCCTGAGAAACATGTATAGAATAAGAAATCAAATAAAAAAAATAGAAATACAGTCAAAACTTAAAATATAAAATTATATTGAATTTGTCTGGGTATAGTCAAAATACTATTTTTCTTCTTTATATTAGGCAGTTTTCTTAATATTCCAAACACTGATTGAATAATATTAAAGAATATGGGCACCTCATAATAACTACTTGAGAGGATAGGAGTGCTGCTTTGTAAATGGGCATTAACTTTTGGATCCAAACATCACAACTCCAGTGATCATTGAGCATCAGAAATACAGTGACCTTCCCCCTTCTCCCTTCCCAGTAGCATAATTGCCTGCCTTTGAAGATATTTTAGACCCAATCAAATTGTTTAGATCCTATCCAAAGTGCCTTTTGAAATTATACTTGCAACTATTAGACATCATCTCCTGAAAAAGTGCTTCCTCTGACCAATTCAACCACAGATGCATTCAATTACCAAACTCCTAAAATCCATTTATTTTGCTTAAAGCACTTATTATAACACAAAGTTTATTTGGCTCATTTACATTTATTTTCTTTCTTTTTTTTTTTTTTCTGTCATAAGAGGAAACATCCATGTGATAGAGAGGCTATGATAGTCTTGTCTACACAATTATATCACCACTGATACAGGAAAACATTTACTGTATTTATTGATTGGGTAAAAAAATCATAAAATTGGTATTTCTTGGCTTATTTACTTCCTGTGTGCATGCTTTGTAAGTCACAGAATGGCTTATGTAAGCAGTTATATTGAATATAAGAACATATGTGCCTGGAAATACTCTTTCAGTATATATAGTCTTAGCTAGATATTTACTTTTCTCATCAATTTAGTACTGACTAGTAAAAAATTTTGGTTCAATACCAAAGCCTTAGGAATCTCAATATTAGACTTCTGCAACACTCCTGCCTCAACAAAGTGATTTACAATTCATTACATTTTCATTTTTATGATCTAAAACTTAGCCATAAGTTTTCATGCATTCATTCATTCATTCATTCATTCATTCTATTGAGTGCTCACTATGTATATGTAGTGTCTGAGAGTATTAGGACATTTCAGTGATCAACTAAAACATAAATTTACAAGTAATTTTCAAAAATTTGAGGAATAAATTTATTCTGGAGAGAGAGAGAGTTGTACAAAAACTATCAATTTAATTATTTGCTTATCTATTGTAACAACTCAGTTCTTTGTGCCACAAATCAAAATTGTTACACGCACTGTTAAAAAATCAAATCTACCTACATATGAGGAGGTATGAACTTAAATGTAGTGTTGTAAAACAATATTAATCTCAAAAATAAATTAATTTAGCCCTTTTATCTATAGTTATGTCTGTGCTGTAGACATTTACCTCTAAAATTATCTGAAGTATTTAAAATTAATTTCATCTCTTCTTTCGAGCAAAGTGTTCATATTTTGTTTACAATATAGATTATGGACTAAGGACTATTTATAAACAGTTACAGTTATTGGTAAATAAGTAGAATACACAAAGTGAATGGCTTAAAAGGTAACAAAAATCTATTTTATGTTGGTAAAATTAAATATATGTAATCTAAGTAATTTAAAAAAGGAGTTTGAGTTAAATGAAATTACTCTGAATGTAAGAAATGGCTGAAACGGGCCTCCCCTGTTGGTGGCTGAGCTCTGGGCTGCAAAGATGCCCGCAGCCTCTGCAGCACTGGTTCGATCCCTGGCCACCAGTAAGGGTCCCACATGGCGCGCAGACCTCTCCTGCTGCCCGCTGCTCCCTCAGCAGTGTACTTCGGTCCTTTTGCCTGTTCTGTTCCCTGCTCTGGCTCTGGTGAATTCTCTCACCTTCCTGCATTTCTGACTGTACCCAGTGCTTGCATAAATAAATAAATAAATAAATCTTAAAAAAAAAAAAAGGCTGAAGCCTATAGCATCTTCCAGTTCAAAATCATCATAAAATATATTTTTTTAAATTTGCATTCACAATTTTTCAATATTTTCATGATATAGCATGGTTACTGTTCGTTTTTAAGAACTGATATGCATATGTGCTCTCATGTGTATCTATAGACATTTTAAACCTAAATTTCTGTGAAATCTAGCATAAAAGCAGCATAACCTTCATTATATTTAAGGACTATATACATTTATTAAATAATTTTTGCTTTATTATATATTTTAAGATGAAAGAAAGTCAATTATACAATAGGAGTATCATCTAATGTAGTAGAGGAACAGGGTTGGGCTAGAATTGCAAGTGTTTTATTTGTAACCTATCAATCCACTTTTTTTTTTTTCCTATTCTAACTGTAGGAATTCTGTTGAGGTCCTAACCCTGGCACTCTTATATTCTCTTCATATCATTCACTAAATTTCCTCAAAATTAAACTTTTATATCTAAATTAAAACTTTACTATGATAAAAAGAGCAATGGCTAAAACATTAAACATAGAGCAATCACAGTCAAGGAGCCATTGTCTACACTGTATTTTGTGAATATCAATATATCCTCATGCCATGATGATTTGTTCAAGTGTGATCAGGTGAACTGAACCAAAATCAAGTAACTATCTTTTGATAAACAAAATGCAAAGCAGGCAAAGTGAGAGACAAGAGGGTATAGAAGGGTAAAGAGGATAGGACAATAGCATTGAACTTAAGTGGAGGGATGGGTGAAGCATGCATTCACGTTGAGGTGTGAAGTAATGAGAAATTCTGGAAAACAGGGATTACCTGTTTATGGAAAATGCTGATTTTTATTTTGTTATTAATTTCTTATTGTTACTATAGTACTGTTATCATCATTTTTATTTCACAGATGAAGAAACTTAAGTGAAGAGAGAGTATATATCACTTGCTGTAAATCACAAAGCTAATAAGTGATTTATTTTTAGCCCTTCTAGAGTATAAAATGAAAATCTGAAAAAAATATAAATTATAAAACTATGAAATTGAAACATAGTTAAAATTCCTTTAGTACCCCTGTATCTATAACGAACATCCAATAATGCACTAAGCATGTAAAATACCACTTTCATCTTGCCATCTTCCAAATTTCAGTGACACAGTCTGCTTTATTTTGTATTATTTTGTTTTCTCAGGTTTTAGAGTAAGAGCTGAATTTCCTCTGCCAACATATTTTAGAAGCTGCCATCTATCTATGACCCATTTTGCTTGGTGTGGATGACATGCATTTGATAGTCTAGTTCTTGGATATACACTATTTTATTTGAGTTTTGTCAGGTAATTTTTATTTATTTTTATTTTTTTTTAATAGAGGCATGTTTTTATTTATTTATTTGTTTGTTTGTTTTTTTGTTTATACATGCACTGGGTACAGTCAGAAGCGCGGGAGGGTGAGAGAATTCACCACAGGCAGAGCAGGGAGCAGAGCAGGCAGAAGGACTGAAGCACACTGCTGAGGGGAGCAGCGGGCGGCAGGAGAGGTCTGCGCGCCATGTGGGACCCTCCTCTGGTGGCCGGGGAGCAGCCGGGGATTGAACCGGCGCCGCTGAGGCCGCGGGCAGCTTCGCAACCCAGCGCTCAACAGCTGCGCCACCGGGGAGGCCCTTGTCAGGTAATTTTTAAATCTACATTGATAGAAATGACATAATTTTTCAGTAATCCTATATTTCCTCAAATCCACTGTCTTCCTCTTCCCAACATCTAATAAGCTATATCAGAAATGTTTCTTAAATGTAACTATCCCTGTCTTTCCTGTAACCACTCCTGCAATATAACCACTTCCCCTTACATTAATTCTTCATATTCAGTATTATTTTTCTAAAATATTTTATAAAAAATATTGACATACTTACATTAAAACAACACTAAATAGAGCATTTATTGATTTCTCATTCACAAATTGGAAAATGATATGCACATTCATAAAATATAAGGTGCGTTATAATATGATCCCGTTCTACTCCTGCAGCTCTATTTTATAGCACTTCAGCATACAGGATTTACCCATATGTCCCATCTTTTCCATGATATGCCACTTCTGTGCATTCTTACCTTCTATTCCCCAAACCTACAATTCGTATCCACTTCCTAACTGGCAAAGTTATAGATATTTTCAAGTTTCTTCTCAAAGTCATGTAAGCTTTCCTGCTCCTCTGAAGGTAAAATTCACCTCCCTCTTTCAGTACTTGCATCAGTGCTGATGTCTGACATTGTACTTGTTACAAGCTCTTTGGCCTTCTTTGCTTTGATCATTCATTTATTTATGTCCTCCATTAGACTGAACTGTCCTGAAAGCACAGTGTGTTGTCATTTTCTTTTACACACAGAGACTTTGGAAAGCAGTTTGCGTCATTCTTGCTACATAAATGTCTATTAAGGGAATGAGCTGAACTGAGCACATTTACAGCATACTGCACTCAAGTCATATGTGCGTATCTGGATTTGTGTTTAGGCTGTATATAAAGGACCAAGCTCTTGTAACATTTTGGGGGAGTGGGCTCCGAGCATGTTTTCTAAAAAAGTCATTGATATGGAACAAGTCATATCACATTATGATTTTATTTATATTCATCATTTCTGCCCAAGGCTACTTCATTCCTTTCCTTATGAATTTGATGTAAGCAAAAAAGGTAATTTTTCTCCCTTTGGTTATAAAACCATTACTTTAAATTACATATCCTTAGAATGCAAATTATTTATTGTTGAAATTTATATCTTACAGATAGAAGGGTTGATCATGAACAGGAATGTAACTAGAGCTATTTAACTGACTCCTTCAAATTCTGTATACACATTTTCCCATAAACGTGAAGTAGTGTAGGGGAGAGCATTTATTTATCAATCAACTTTTCTATGCTTCTACTCCAACACTTAATGATAATTTCCCACTTTCCTTCATTTTCTGTTACCAATTATCTAGGCATAGAGGTCACTAGAGCATGACCCTGTGAGGATGTTCTGACTTCTGATGATTCTTCTGGCTCCTCTCTGCTCTTTAGTACTATATAGAATCAGCACAGTTTAGATAAACTTGTGAAGT